TTATTTTTTAAATTAAAATACATTTCTTTTCTTTATTCAAAAATTGAAAAAACAAATATATATATATATATATATATGAAAAAAACAACCATTTTCATTGGGCCACGTCATGTTGGTTTCCAGAGAGGTCATCCATTCATGGCTAATTAAGCTTGGGTGGCCCAATAAAGAAGCATGTGTTGGCTGGAGAGTGCAGGAGGCGAGTGCCCATAGCAGCTAACATTGCCCAAAAAACAGCTAGTACTGCTCAAAAACCAACGCCAATCAGGCAATCACGTGTCAACATACTACCCACTAAAAAGAGTACCCCTCCATTGTTTCACACTTTCACCTTCTTCGCCTTATCATCTTCTTTCTTTTCTACCATTTTTCTACATTCAAGCTCGCTTCCTGATCCTTATCTACTCCTTTTTCTGGCAACAAATTTTATCCTTCTTTGCTTGAGCAGTGAGCAGCAGCAACCAAATCCTAATATTTAAGGCTGGCTCCACGTGATTGGGGTCACCAAATAGATTTCCATCCCGCCAGTGCGTGAGATGTGAGCAGTGGCAGTGAATAGCGGCACGCCGGCACCGTAGCAGTCCAAAATCTTTCCCTCCCCTGCGGCAAATTTCTGGAAATCTCTTCTTCAATTTTTGTGAAAGTGAAATCGAGATTTCAAACGATTTTACGAAAAAATCGCGCTTTTACGTTTTTATCATCCGATTTTATGAATATCCGATTTTAAAGTCGATTTTACTCGGCATCCATACCTAACATCGTAAAATCTTAAGATTTTACGATATAAAACGCGATTTTGACAACACTGCTCCGTTGACCAGGTTGGACCCCACACGTTTCGCGCGCTCTTGCAATTTTGAGTATCGAATCGATTGTTATTCCGCGACTTTGCACTACCAAAAGTTTTCTTGCTCTTCTCTTCACTTTCTCATGATCTTCTTCAAATTTTCTTGGTTTGATGATTATAAATACAGTTGCCATTAGAAGAACCAGATCATCAGCAAAACAGAGTACAACATTGTAGGACGCGCATATCAAAATTAGCATCCATGGCTGTGAGTAGAAGAATTCAGGTCGAATCCAGAAACCGAATTGGGTTTTCTCGATCCACATGGCCAAGGAAGCAGAAAGAATTGAGAATAAACATGAAGCGATTGAGAGTGGAGATGGCGGGGATCAGTACAGACCAGAAACGAATTAGAAAAGACCAAACAGAAATACGAGGGAAGTTGGAACAAATTAAAGAGCAATGCGCCAGGTTGAGAGAGGAAACGGAGGTGATTGCGAAGCAGAAAGCTCGGAGTCAGCTTCTGCTCGTTCTTGTATTCAAAATCCTCAAGGCTCGTGAAGCAGGGGACTTCGCCACCGCAATCAGTTTCACTCGGGCTCTCAGGTTGGTTTGTTTGTTTGTTTTTCAACCCAACCCATTAATTTTTATTACAAGGACGTTTAAAAAAAATTTTAAAATATTTATTTTAAAAATACTATTTACCTCATATAAATTTAAAACTTTACTTTAAAACTGGATCCCTTTAATCTTACTATTCTCCCTTCTGTAATTTTCCATGCTTTTATTTGCAGGGATGTGATTCAGAAGCAAGGAACAAATAAAGGAATAGCAGTGATTGATAAATAAAGTCTGATATATATATATATATATATTAATGTTTGTCAAATTTTACGTACGTAGTTGTCTACAACGATAAAGTGGCCACTAGACTGCGGGGATGCTCTCAATAAAGTCTGATATTTGTGTTAAACAAAGATATAATAGTAATTATAATAAGGTTTGGGATTGCTTTTTTTTTGGAAGGGACAAACCAACTGGGTGTTGTGTGAGAGAGAATGAAGGTTTTGTCAATAAATGGTCAGTTAATGTATAAGGTTTCCTCAAGATTACTGTACTTAAGAGTGATTGGTTTTTATTTTTATTTTTATTTTTATTTTTAAGGCCTTGTAATTTGTTGCGTGGTGTCATTGTTCAAAATTATAGTAGTGTTGTGATATTGTTTTAAAGTGTTGTAAAATTGTATAATTGTTAAACATTAATTGAAATTAATAATGTTATTACTATAACAAATTAATATTTGTAGTAATTTATACACTATGAACTCACCCTTAATTTGCCCAAGAATTTGTGTTGTTGTAAAGAACTCCTAGCTGGCCAAAAAATAAAAAAGGACTCCTAAATTTGAAGTCATATTCCAAGACTTAATATTTAAATATTTATTTAAACCTTCAAACTCAACTAATTAAGGTTATAAGAGGACTTTCATTTTAAATTAACTAGTAAACATTTTTTTTTAATTATGTGAATCAAATTCAAAATCTCTTACTCTTATTAAAAAAATTTTATTACAAAATTATTTAAATTATTGATTGTAAACATCTCTATTTACTTGCAATCTTAGTTTTTTTCTCCTTTTTCGACTATAAATCTTAATTAGTTTATTATCAACAACTGAATCTATAGGTGTTTTAAGTATCAATTTAAATGGCACTAATGTTACAGTTATAATGTCACACATATGGGTTGTTTGGTATATCAGTTTGAAAACTAATGGTTGGTAGTTTGATCTAATCTAATAGTTGATAATTATTATTATTATTATTATTATTATTATTTTAAACACTCTTACTCATTAGATTAAATGAAACCATTAATTGTTAATGTCAAACCATTATATAAAGTAATTTTATAAGAT